GCTTCCCGTCCGCTCAGCCGTACTTAAGCCACACGCCGGGAGGTTAGTAGTTGGGTGGGTGACCACCAGCGAATCCCTTCTGTTGTATGTTTTTGTTTTTTTATCTCGCTATTCGACAGCTGTTTCCTAGCAATCGAGGCCTGCACCATTCCCTTCTCCCGATCTCTCCTATGATGCCCACCTTGTGAAACTCCAGCTGTCGCGGACGTTGCCCCTTTCTTCCAGGGGCTAGTGGGAAAGTGTGATGACAGCAACATCCACGCCTAAACAACAGGTACTTTACAACATCCGAATATCAAACCCTAACTGCATACGCTAAGGTCGCGCTCTATACTGACGGCTTATTCTTATCAAACAATATCTTAATGCTATGTACCACAATCCCAAAAGTCAAATCTCCCGCAGCTTCCAAGCTGATTGTACAGTATTTACAGATTAAATCAGCATGAAGACGACCACTCCCGCAACGGCAACGACAGATCCCACACCCGCACGCAGCGAAACACCCATACTATAGGCAGTCGACGACGAGGTCGCGTTGGCCGGCCCAACGGCGCTCAGAGACGCGGTCGGCTGATAAGCCACCGGAGTCTGGTCGTCCACGGTCCCATTCCAACAATACCGTTGGAAACACTTCGTACAGGCCTCCGGGACGGCCGTGCCGGTGCGATTCAACGAGCGGCTGAGAACCGCACAGCCGACGCAGGTCGACCAGTCCGCATCCAGCGTGCCATTCGCCTGCGTCGCAACATTGTACCCATTGGTGATGATCGCATCACGCTGGGTATTGTTGAATTGACCCTCCTCGAGCGAGAAGTTCGAGCTGTAGGTGATCGGGTGGTTGGGCAGGTAAACCACCAAGGGTGTCGGCGTAGTCAGACGAGAGGCGTTGCAGCCGAAGAAAGTCGGACGAGCGTTCAGGCCCAGATTGAGGAATGTATCGAGGTCTGGGATCTCCGGGAACGAGGTGTCGTTGGCAACGTCGAGGAGGGTGCGGTTGTAGGTTGCAATCAGTGATGAGCCGGTCGGCCAGTTGTCGTAAGACGAGGAGCCGAGGGAGTCGACGGCGAAGATCACGTCGACGTTGCGCTTCTGTTGGATGAGCGGGTACAGTGGAACATTCTGGCTGGTCTCGCCTCCATCCTGCACGATCAGATTGGTGGTTTGTGCGTATGGGGAGGTGGCTGTGTTGTATTGGTAGAAGGGATTCGGGTCGTAGGCTGCCGGTCCGTCAATGCTGGAGTTGGTCGAGCTGGCGGCGTTGTCGAAGTCCTCGACGGCGCTCCTCAAAAACGCCGTCGTGGTGGAGTTCGGCGCGGCGGCTTCGTACTGTTCTAGGATATACTCCAAATAATAGAGAATGTCGTGTCCGTTTTCGTTCCAGATATCGCTTGACGAGCCGGTGATGAAGCCTGCATTGTCGAACCCCCGGACGCAGGTTTCATTGTCTGGCACTACACCGTTGACGAATCGAGTACCAAGATACTCCAGGGGCGCGAAGCCGTAGATGTCGTCGTCGTAGGTTCCCCACTCCCAAGGGGTAGTTTCATAGATTGGATATGTTGCTGGGGAGGATGACAAGGTCTCGGTGCTTTTCTGGTTGCCAGTCATAACTACCAGAGGCATCGGGATATCACCACTCTGGAAGGATTGCGTCTTTGCAATCGAAGACCAGGTGTAGTCAACACCCCCATCGCTAGCATTGAAGAAGTTGTATCCCTGGATACGGCCCCTATAAGCATATGTCAATGTCCGTTCCTTGGCTCAGAGGGGCAAGCAAGCTTACCAGAAATCCGCGTCGCCGGTCTTAAACCCAGCCTCCCGTTTGCTCTTAACGTCAGCTGAAATATTTCCCCAGAATTCAACATGCGAGATCTTAGCAGGACCATATATAATTTCCTCGGAGTTAAAGTCCCACAGGTTCTCCTGTAGATTAGAGACTGTCGTAAAGTTATTGACGTATATAGAACCGAGAGCCCAAGATCCACCGCTGAGGGCAGCAAAATAGGTGGCTGACTGCAGCAGACCACCGAGTTGACCTTTGGCCGTTGATCCTTCAGTGCGTTCATCGAAGGCCTTAATGACACCTCCTCCATTGAGACACGCGACAAGACCACCACCCGAGATGCCAATCGCAACATTGGGTAGGTCGCTGCCAGAGTGGTTCGTAAGGTAGCTGACAGCATCGAAGTTTTCAATCTCGATATGTCCAAAGAAGTCTTTCAGGGCGGACTCGGTCTTCGGACGGCGAGTCTGGAGCCATGCTGTCTCATTAGAGGAAAGTGCGGAAGCAGGCCGAATTGTAGGTCGGCTCGATGGGCAGGTAACATGGACCGGGGCATAGCCGTTCGGAGCATCTGGGAGGGCACGAGGCTTGACATTCATATCCCGTGAAGCGAGGTCTGCTTTGATAGATACGACGCCAGCATTGGTAACTGAGATTAAATGTTGTGAGCTTTGGGTATTCATCAAGTACAAACCGAGGACAGTTTGAGGCCTTCACTTCCTCTCAGCAACTTACATTCTATGATGTTCAGGGACATCAAGCCCAAAAAGATAGACGTCTTCATGGTACCCCACTGAGTTAATCAACAAGGTTCACAACAATGTACCTTGAAAGAGAAAGCTGTTCATGTGCTTGAACCTCGACCTGGATCTTGGGAAAGGTCGAGCTATTTATCCTCACGACCCAGCTTGAAGACCAGGTCAAAGCTAAGTAGATGATCAGACCGCGTAGAAAGAATAGCGGAACATCGCGTGTGGAAGTGGAGTCTGAGGCTGAGATGGCGCAAGTAGCCCCAAAAAAAGCAGAAGATTTCATCTCTATGTGGTATATAACTCGGGATCGTCGGGCTGAGGTGGATCTCCTGAGGGCCCAAAGCGGCGTTCGCGTAGTTAGCGTTGGCGCGCTAGACTAGATCTAGGAAGCAGTTCGGCACCATACCTCATCAGTCCCAC